AAAACGACGCGACCCATCGGGCACGGCCTAACCGACCACCGACCCCTAGCAAGCCATCCCCGTCCGTGACGCCACTCTCGCCTGTCCCTCTTGCCGCATGCATGCGCCTTTGGGCGAGGCGAGGGGGACGTCACGGAAGGGGATGGTTTGCTAGGGGTCGGTTAGGCCGCATCTGAACCCAGTCTAAAATCTGGCGCGAACTCCCGCTGCAAACATCCCAGGAAGACTGGGCCGTCAAAATCCAGGCCGGGCTCGTCTGAAAGCGCCGGCAAGCCCGAGTTCCGGCGCACTCGAGTCTGACGTTTCCCCGCGCCTGTGGCCGCAACATGGGCCGGCGAGCTTGGGAAGACGCCCAGATCGGAGGCACTGTGGCCCTGCCGGAACCGGAGTCGGGGGAATTGGGCGAAGGGGGGGAGGGGGGTTTGGCTCTGGGCCTCTGCTTACTGCGACTGTTTGCAACAGTGTGTCCTGTGGGGGAGGGGCTCCGCCTGCTCGAAACAGGTGCCACAAACAGCCAAGACCCACTCCATGGGGGAGGAGAGGGGGGTGCGAGGGCCCGCGCCGATCGGCAAAACAGTGAAAAAAAACATAAACGAAAAACACAACAAAAAAAACGATCACCGCGGGAGGCGATCCAGATGAAGATGCGCGCGTGGATCCCCCCGACTCCCACGCTTCCCCGGCGAGCGGTCGAGCGGCCCCTGGGGCGGCCCGCGCGCTCGCCACGGGGGAGGCCCAACAGGGGAGCGCGGCGCGCGGCCGGAGCGAGGCTGGGCGGGCGGCCCGAGGCGCGGCGGGGAGAAGGCGAGGGCCCAGCACCACAGGATGGGCGGGCGGGGGAGGACGGGGAGCGCCGGGTGTCCGGAAGGCGAGGGGCCTCCACGAGGCGACGGCCGACCACAAGGGAGGGGGAGCGAGGAGGAGGAGGAGCGAGGAGAAGCGAGGAGGGGGAGGAGGAGGAGGAGGAGGAGGAGGAGGAGGAGGAGGGAGGAGGAGGGGGAGGAGGAGGAGGAGGAGGAGGAGGAGGAGGAGGAGAGGAGGAGGAGGAGGAGGAGGAGGAGGAGGAGGAGGGAGGAGGAGGAGGAGGGAGGAGGAGGGGAGGAGGGGAGGGAGGGAGGGAGGGAGGGAGGGAGGGAGGGAGGAGGAGGGAGGAGGAGGAGGAGGAGGAGGAGGAAGGGGGAGAAAGTAGGAGGAGGCGGGGGGATGGCAAAGGGGAGCACAGGGGGGATCGCAGAGGGTATAGCACAGGGAGAGGGATAGCGCAGGAGGTCGCTGCACTCTGCCTATCCTTTACCACGTGGACGGGGCCGAGGTGCACAGAGTCACCGCGCATTGCCAATTGAGTTATGGTTCTTTGTATGGCTTTGGCAACATGTGGGACCAGAAATTCCTGACCACTTCGATCGGACGAAGGAGGGGGGGATGGCATAGGGGGCGGACGACAGGGAGGGGTCGCGAATCAGCCGCTTTGTTTTCCAGCGCCTCCTGGCGCCCGAAGCGCCAAAAATGTACTAAGGGCAGCGTCCTGCGGCGAGACCGAAACGAGCTGCAGGCGGCAGATTTCGTACCCCCCCCTTCTTTCCCAATCCCCCCTTTCGTCCGACCCGAAACAACGGACGTGAGTGTCCCGAGCCCCAGCATGCGAGACTGACGTGAGTGTTCTGAGCCCCAGCACTCCAGAAAAGCGAGAACGGGGGATTGTGGAGTCGCAGGGGTTCAAAAGCGCGCGCGCGAGGGTTTCGCGCTGAGTTCGCGACTGTTTCTGTGCAAACTCTGCTCTGTGTCGTCCTTCTCCACCTCCTCCTCCGCCCCCTCCTCCTCCTCCTCCTCCTCCTCCTCCTCCTCCTCCTCCTCCTCCTCCTCCTCCTCCTCCTCCCCTCTCCCCCTCCTGCTACCTCTCTGCCTTTGTTTTTCTCCAGGCGCCCCCCCCCAGAAAAAAAAAACATAAAAAATATCAGTTTTTTTTTTTCTGGGGGGGGGGCGCCAGGAGAAAAAAAAAGGAATGCGACGTGACCACATCTGCCCTCCCCCCTAGAAGGATTCCTATTGGACGCCCCCATAAGAAGGATTCACAGTAAAATCCTCGACAGAAGGGTTCCTATCGAAACCCTCCACTGAATGATTCCTACCGAAATCCTCCACATGTGGATTCCTACTGAAACCCTCCACTGAATGATTCCTACTGAAATCCTCGAATGGCAATGGCAATGGCAATGGCAATGGCAATGGCAATGGTAATGGTAATGGTAATGGTACTGGTAATGGTACTGGTAATGGTTACGGTAATGTTAGTGGTAACGGGGTAGCGAGGCAATGACAATGGCAATGGCAACGGTAATGGTACTGGTAATGGCAATGGCAATGGCAATGACAATGGCAATGACAATGGCAATGGCAATGGCAATGGTAATGGCCATGGCAATGGTAATGGTAATGGTAAGGGTAGAGGTAAAGGTAGAGTTAAAGGTAATGGTAATGGTAATGGTAATGGTAATGGTACTGGCAATGGCAGTGGCAATGGTAATGGTAATGGTAATGGTAATGGAAGTGGGAATGGGAACGGGAACGGGAATGGAAATGATAGTGGTAGTGGTAATGGTAATGGCACTGGTAATGGTAATGGTAATGGTTCTGGAAATTGTAATAGTATTGGGAATGGGATTGAGAATGGGAATTATAATGGTAATGGCAGCGGTAGTATCATGGTAATGGGAATTGGAGTGGAAATGGTACTGGCAATGGTAATGGTAGTGACGAATGGCAATGGCAATGGTGATGGTAATGGTAATGGTAATGACAAAGGTAATGATAATGGTACTGGTGATGGCAACGGTAATGGTAATGGTAAGGGGGTAGCGATTGGCAATGGCAATGACAATGGCAACGGTAATGGTAATGACAATGGCAATGAGATTGGCAATGGCAATGACAATGATAATGGCCATGGCAATGGCAATGGTAAATGTAATGATAATGGCAATGGTAATGGGAATGGGAACGGGAATGTGAATGGGAATAGGAACAAGAACGGGAATGGAAATGGTAGTGGTAGTGGTAACGGAAATGGGAATGATAAGGGTAAGGGTAAAGGTAAAGGTAGAGGTAAAGGTAATGGTAATGGAAATGATAGTGATAATGGTAATGGTAATGGTAATGGTAATGGTAATGGTAATGGTCATGAGAATGGGAATGGCAATGGAAATGGTACTGGCAATGGTAATGGTAGTGGCGAATGGCAATGGCAATGGCAATGGTAATGGTAATGGCAATGACAATGGTAATGATAATGGTACTGGTAATGGTAACGGTAATGATGGTGGTAACGGGGTGGCGACTGGCAATGGCAATGACAATGACAACGGCAACGGTAATGGCAATGGCAATGGCAATGGCAATGGCAATGGGGATGGCAATGGGGATGGCAATGGGAATGGTAATGGCCATGGCAATGGCAATGGCAATGGTAATGGTAATGGCAATGGTAATGTGAATGGGAATGGGAACGGGAATGGGAATGTGAATGGGAATGGGAATAGGAACGGGCATGGAAATGGCAGTGGTAGTGGTAACGGAAATGGGAATGGTAAGGGTAAGGGTAAAGGTAAAGGTAGAGGTAAAGGTAATGGTAATGATAATGGCAATGGCAGTTGTAATGGTAATGGTAATGGTAATGGTATTGGGAATGGGAATGTTAATCGGAATGGTAATGGTACTGGCAACGGTAATGGTAGTGGCGAAGGGCAATGGCAATGGATATGGTAATGGTAATGGTAGTGGCGAATGGCAATGGTAATGGTAGTGGCGAATGGCAATGGCAATGGCAATGGTAATGGTAATGGCAATGACAGTGGTAATGATAATGGTACTGGGAATGGTAATGGTGACGATAACGGTAATGGTAATGGTTATGGCAATGATAACGGGGTAGCGATTGGCAATGATAATGGGAATGGCAACGGCAACGGCAATGGCAATAGCAATGGCCATGGCAATGGTAATGGTCATGGTCATGGTCATGGTCATGGTCATGGTAATGGTAATGGTAATGGTAATGGTAATGGTAATGGGAATGGGAATGGGAATCGTAGTAGTAATTGGAACGGGAACGGGAATGGAAATGGTAGGAAAGATAATGGCAATGGTAATGGAAATGGTACTGGTAACGGTAATGGTAATGGCAATGATGATGGGAATGGGAATTGTAATGGTGATGGCAGCGGTATTGGTAATGGTAATGGCAAGTGTGTTGGTAATGCTAATGATAATGGCAATGGTAATGGTGGTGGCGAATGGTAATGGTAATGGGAATGGTAATGGTACTGGTAACGGTAATGGTAACGGGGTGGCTACTGGCAATGGCAATACCATGGCAATGGCAACGGCACTGGCAATGGCAATGGCAATGATAATGGCAATTGTAATGGCAATGGTAATGGCACTGGCAATTGTAATGGCAATGGTAATGGTAATGGTAATGGTACAGGTAAAGGTAAAGATAAAGGTAAAGGTAATGGTAATGGTAGCGGTAATGTGAATGGGAATGGGAATTGGGATGGGAATGGTAATGGTAATGGTATTGGGAATGGGAACGGAATGGGAATGGGAGTGGGAGAGATTGAGAGAGAGAGAGAGAGAAAACGAGAAAGGAAACATCAGCATAATGATGAGGAACAAAGTGAAATATCGTAAATTTTCGTCTAAAACCCACAGCGACTCCACAATCCCCCGGCCTCAGAAAAGCACGGTCGCCCAGACGAGCCCATCGGGGGCTTCCACGAGGGGGAGTCGCACATCATGGGCCGAGGCATGTGCGCAGACGGGGGGGGACCAGATGTCGCATTGAAACAACGGGGCCATGATATCTGGGAGATATCGTGGCCCACGCCATGGTATCCACCCCTCCCGCTCGCCGACGCCCCCGAGCCACTGCCACACGGCCAGCATGCAAGCGGGACGGCCTGGCGAGCCGCTGACGCGGCCGCCGCAACCCAGGTTGGCAACTATCGTACTGCGCCGCAAAATCTGTGGAGGGCAACTCTCAGATTCCATCGCGATGTCCCTCGCGACCGCAAAGACATCTGGCAACAACCATACGAGCCCATCCAAGGCGTGCGAGGAGCACGCCGTTCCGCGAGTGCACCGCTCGACAAACTCCCACAATCTATCCAGCGACACAGGCAGCATGGGAAAAACCGACGAAGATGCTGAAGAAGAGGACGGTCCTGCAGTGCGTCTGGCTGCCTGCTCTGGGCTTTCTGTGGCCTGTGGGCTGCCATATTGTCTTCAGCGACAGTCGCCAGAAGGGCAATGTTCTACACTAGGGGAACAAAACGTGACGTAAACATAAAAACTCGGAGGTCTGCGCGGATTTCTCGGATCGGCGCTGGAACCCCCTCCGTGGCGCGCGGAGCGCGCCAGGGGCGGCGCCAGAGGCGCCGCCGGGGGGCCCCAACGCCGATCCGAGAAATCCGCGCGGACCTCCGAGATGTTATGTTTATGTCATTGTTCGTTCCCCTAAATGTTCTACACGCTGCAGGTGAGGTCCAGGGTGAAGCCAGACCCTGTCGATGGGCGGCACTCACAGAGAGGGGGTGACGCGGGAGGGGGGGGCCGCCCGCCCCAGAAGGCGGGGGGGGGCCTCTACGAAGGCAGGGGGGCTTCGTTGGAGGCCTCCTCCATGGGGTCCGAGCAGACGGGGTCGGAGGATCGCGCCGCGTCGACGATGCCTCGACGAATGCATCGACGAGCATCGGCGACGTCAGCGATGCGTCGGCAACGGTGGCGCGGAGAAACTCGGGCTCCGTATCGAGCCGCGCCGCCGCGCAGCAGCGACGCAGCGCGATCCTCCGATCCCATCTACCCCGACCCCATTTTGGAGGCCTAGACTCTGAGATGCTCCCCCCGGTGTCCAAGAAGCCTCCTGGGAAGCACCCAGGCGCTCCTAAGAAGGCCCACCACTCCCGAGAGGACCCCCCCCACTCCGCCTCCGCAGGAGCCCACCCCCCTCCCTGCGCCACCCCCCTTCCGCGCGCCGCCAGGCAGAGCGCGCCCGTGGGCTGCCGTAGAGACCAGCGGTCGGTCCTCCCGCGTCCACCCCGTCCAGGCTCGCCGACGCCCCCGAGCCTCTGCCACACGGCCAGCATGCAAGCGGGACGGCCTGGCGAGCCGCTGACGCGGCCGCCGCAACCCAGGTTGCCAACCATCATGCTGCGCCGCAAAATCTGTGGAGGGCAACTCTCAGATTCCATCGCGATGTCCCTCGCGACCGCCAAAACATCTGGCAACAACCATCCGCGTCTCCCCGTCCAGGCGCGCCACCAGCGAGCACCCAGAGACGGCAACGACGTGCGAGGCGGTGCAAGCTGCTCGCGCTGGGGGCCAGCTGCTCCTCTGCCGCCACCGCAGCGACACCCACGGCGTGCACAGCTCCGTCGAGGGCACTGTGGCCGAGCTCTCCAAGCAGTTCGTCCAGGCCGGGGTGGAGCACGACGCGCATCAACATCGTTAGACCTGTCCCCATCCCCACTGGCAAAGCCTTGGCGCCGCTGTCCGGCCCATCCCTCCAGATTGGGACAAATGTCGTCTCCGTCGCGTTTCGTGGCACCCACCCCCCCGCCTAGAGGGGGGTAGGCTGATGGCGCACTGGGGATGGGAATAGGTCTGACGATGCCGAGTGCAGGAAGTAAATGTCGTCGTGCACCGTCACTGAGATGGCCAAGCTGGTTGTTACTGTTCATTCTGGGGCGCCAGGCAACTTCTGCAGAAGAAGAAACGGCAAGACATGCATATTCGGAGATCCTCGCGAATTTCTTGGGTCCGTGCTGACACCCGTCCCTGGCGCGCGGAGCGCGCCAGAGGCGCCGCCGTGGGGGGGCACCAGGAGAGGCCCAGCGCAGACCCAACAAAAAAATCGCGCGGACCTCCAAAAGCTTATGCTTGTGCCGACGTTCTGCGGCAACTCATGGGAGTATCCCATGCCATCTCGCTTGCTCTTGCAAATCGATGCTAAATCGAAGCTCATCGGCGCTAAGCTGGCGCCATCTTATCGAGCACCAGACGCTAGCCGACGCGAATTGCACTCCGGAGGCAGAACTGCGAGGCCACACCAGGCTCCCATGATTTGCTACCGACCCGATGTCGCCGCTCTCCGATCTTCACTCCAGGTCGCCGAGCAGCTTCTGGGACACCCCCGCCGCCAAAGCCAGCTCCCGGGCCAGCCGCCGGTCGGAGCTGCGCGCGCACGCCCGCGCCAGCTCGAGGGGCCGCTGCCGAGCGCCCTGCCCGAGGCCCACGAGGAGAGGATTCCGGCCGGGGCCGAGGAACCGACGGTGCGCGGTCGTGCTGGGGCCCCCCGCCGACAGTGAGATCCGGGCGTTGCAGACTTTTCACAACGGGCGCTCTCGTACAGCCTGCGCGCGCCACGCGCCTCTACATACCACAAGCACATGCCTGCGCACGCTGCAAACACGTTGCGCGCGCACTACGAACAGCATACCTGTGCGCTAAACAACACGCGCTGCTGCAACGGGGGTGGGTGGGGCGGCGGGCGTTATGCTGCTATCTACTGGGTGGGTGGGTGGGTTGGAGGCCACATAACGCGCGTTATGTGCTCGAGTATAAAAACTTGAGCTCCTTCGGGTCCTGGGGCCCTGACAGACCGATCGGGCTCGGAAAATATGGCGTGGACCTTTGCAGAACGCGAGCCCGGGAGGAAGCGAGACGGGGCGCACCTTCTCAGAAGGCTCAGAAGTCCCCCAGCTTTTTGAAAAGTGTTCGAAGCCTTCCCCGATGGCACCGGACTCAGAACCCCCGCCGCATTCTGAGGCCTTCTCCTTATCGCTTCTCGCCCTCGATCGCCGCCGACAGAAAGATGGGGCCCGGGCCTCTGGTCGTGATGGCTTGCGGCGTCGCAGCTTTTCCCATCGTCAGCTCTGGGGGGACGCGTCGCCGAATCTGCTCCGGCTCCACCCGGGAGGTCTTGAGGGACAGAGCCCATGGGCTCCGCGGAGCGGCCCCTGGGGGTGGGGCATGATCAGTCAGGGTGAAATAGGTTTAATCGTGGTAGTAGTAGTAGTAGTAGTAGTAGTAGTAGTAGTAGTAGTAGTAGTAGTAGTAGTAGTAGTAGTAGTAGTAGTAGTAGTAGTAGTAGTAGTTAGTAGTAGTAGTAGTAGTAGTAGTAGTAGTAGTAGTAGTAGTAGTAGTAGTAGTAGTAGTAGTAGTAGTAGTAGTAGTAGTAGTAGTAGTAGTAGTAGTAGTAGTAGTAGTAGTAGTAGTAGTAGTAGTAGTAGTAGTAGTAGTAGTAGTAGTAGTAGTAGTAGTGTAGTAGTAGTAGTAGTAGTAGTAGTAGTAGTAGTAGTAGTAGTAGTAGTACTAGTACTAGTAGTAGTAGTAGTAGTAATCGTAGTAAGAGTAGTAGTTGTACTAGTAGTAGTAGTAGTAGTAGTCGTAGTAGTAGTAGTAGTAGTAGCTGTAGTAGTAGTAGTAGTAGTAGTAGTAGTAGTAGTAGTAGTAGTAGTAGTAGTAGTAGTAGTAGTAGTAGTAGTAGTAGTAGTAGTAGTAGTAGCCCCCGTGGCGGTGCTGGGGCAGCCCCGTGTACTGCTGCGTCGCCGTCGGGCGCCTGGCCGTTTTGGTCTGCCATCCTGGCCTCCTCTCGCGCCTTCTAGCGCTAATAGGCCTTGATGGCGGTACTGGGGTCGCCCCGTGTGCTGTTATGCCGCCGCCAGCGCCTTACTTTTTGCTGTAGGGGCCAGCTGCCCTCGGCCAGGCGCCTGCTGCTGCATGCACGTCAGGCCCGCCCGTGGCTTGCCATCCTGGCCTCGTCTCGCGTCTTCTCGCGCTAGTGGGCCTGGGTGGCGGTACTGGGGTCGCCCCGTGTGCTGCTGTACCGTTGCTGGCGCTTCACTTTGGGCCGTCGGACCAGCTGCCCACAGGACAAGCGCCTGGCGCTGCAAGCATGTCAGACCCGCCCGTTCACCCAGAAGAGGTGCGCGCTACATACTGGCAGTGAGGCGGCCACATGGACCCTCTTTCCTAGGTGGTTGAGCCGTGGTGATGTGGTGCACGAGACCGCCAGTAGTAGTAGTAGTAGTAGTAGTAGTAGTAGTAATCGTAGTAGTAGTAGTAGTAGTAGTAGCAGTAGTAGTAGTAGTAGTAGTATCAGTAGAAATAGTAGTAGTCGTAGTAGTGGTTGTGGTGGTGGTAGTAGTAGTAGTAGTAGTAGTAGTAGTAGTAGTAGTAGAAGTTGTGGTTCGTGGTTGTAGTTGATAGTAGTAGTAATAGTTGTTAAGTAGTAGTAGTTGTAGTAGTAGTTATGGTACTAGTAGTGAGTAGTAGTAGAATCATAGTAGTAGTGTTGTAGTAGTAGTAGTAGTAGTAGTAGCACTAGTCGTAGTTAGTAGTTGTAGTAGTAGTAGTAGTTGTCGTAGTAGTAGTAGTTAGTAGTAGTAGTAGTTGTAGTAGTACTTAGTACTAGTAGTAGTAGTAGTTAGTTATTAGTAGTAGTAGTCGTAGTAGTAGTCGTAGTAGTTAGTAGTAGTCAGTAGTAGTATTAGTGTAGAGTAGTAGTTTGTAGTCGTTACTAGTAGTTGTAGTGTCTGGTGATCGTAGTAGTAGTTGGTAGTAGGTAGTCAGTATGTAGTAGTAGTGTCGTAGTAGTAGTAGTAGTAGTAGTAGTAGCAGTAGTAGTCGTAGTAGTAGTAGTAGTAGTAGTAGTAGTAGTAGTAGTAGCAGTAGTAGTAGTAGTAGTGGTGATAGTAGTAGTAGCAGTAGCAGCTGCAACATCAGCAGGAGCACGAGCAGTAGTAGTACCAGTATAAGTCGTCGTAGTAGTAGTAGTAGTAGTAGTAGTAGTAGTAGTAGTAATGGTAGTAGTAGTCGTACTAGTAGTAGTAGTTATCGTAGTAGTAGTCGTAGTAGTACTCGTGATAGTAGTAGTAGTAGTAGTAGTAGTAGTAGTAGTAGTAATAAAAATAGTAATAGAACTCGTGCACGTAGCATTATTACACATCGTAGTAGTCATAGCCGCATCCGTAGTAGTATTAGTAGTAGTCGTAGTAGTAGTAGTAGTAGTAGTAGTAGTGGTAGTAGTAGTAGTAGTAGTAGCAGTAGTAGTCGTAATAGTAATGGTAGTAGTAGTAGTAGCAGTCGTCGTCGTAGTAGGGGTAGTAGTAGTAGTAGTAGTAGTAGTAGTAGTAGTAGTAGTCGTAGTCGTAGTAGTAGTAGTAGTAGTAGTCGTAGTCGTAGTAGTAGTAATAGTAGTAGTAGTAGTAGTAGTCGTCGTCGTCGTCGTCGTCGGGGGGTCACGTCGTTCGTACTAGTAGTAGTATTAGTAGTAGTAAGTGGTAGTAGTCAGTAGTAGTAGTAGTATTACTAGTAGTAATAGTGGTATAAGAGTAGTAAGTAGTAGTAGTAGTAAGTAGTAGTAGTAAGTAGCGTCGCCGTAGTAATAGTAATAAGTAGTAATACTAGTACTATTAACTATGTATAAGTAGTAGTAGTAGTAGTAAGTAGTAGTAGTAGTGGTATAGTATGTAGTAGTAGTATAGTAAAGTATTAGTAAGTAGTATTGGTAGTAGTGTAGTAGTAGTGTTGGAGAATGTAGTAGTAAGCAGTAGGTAGTAGTAGAAGGTCATTAGTAATAGTAAGAAGTAGTAAGTAAAAAAAAAAAAAAAAAAAAAAAAAAAAAAAAAATAGAGGAAGAAGTCGTAAGTAAGTAGTAGTAGTTAAGTAGTATAGTCGTACTAATAACATAAAACCAATAGTCCCGTACTTTGTGGATGTTGTAGTAAGAAGTATTGTAAGGATTTCTTGTAGTAGTAGTAGTACTAGTAGTCGTAGTAGTCTTGGTAGTGGTAGTAGCAGCAGCAGCAGTAGTAGTAGTGGTAGTAGTAAGACTAGTAGTACTAGTAGTAGTAGTAATAGTCGTAGTAGGTCGTAGTAGTCGTAGTAGTCGTAGCCGTAGTAGTCGTAGTCGTTGTAGTAGTAGTAATAAAAGTAACACCAGCAATATTAATGATAGTCGTAGTAGCAGTGGTAGTAGTGCTCGTCGTAGTAGTGGTAGTAGCAGTAGTAGTTGTAGTAGTAGTAGCGGTAGTAGTAGTACTAGTGGTAGTAGTAGAAGTATTCGTGGTGGTCGTCGTGGCAGTGATTGTCGTAGTGGTCGTAGATTTAGTGGTAGTAGTAGTCGTGGTAGTAGCAATCGTAGCCGTAGTCGTGGTAGTAGTAGTAGTAGCAGCAGTAGTAGTAGTAGGAGTATTAGT